CAAATCGTACCTGACGAATTTGGTGGCCTTCTATGGCAGGGTTACAGCACTGGTGAATAAATGGGGAGCAACTGAGATCATCTACCTGGACACGTGCAAAGCTTTTCCCACTGTCCTGCATGACATCCTTTTCTATAAACTGGAGAGACTTGGATTTGACAATGGAGCACTCGGTGGATAAGGAATTGGCTGGATGGTCGCACTTGAAGAGTTGCGGTCAACAGCTTGATATCTAAGTGGAGAGTGGTGATGAGTGTTGTTCCTTAGGGGTCGCTGTTGGAACCAGTGATGTTTAACATCTTTGTTGGTGACATGGACAGTGGGATTGAGGGCACCCTCAGCAAGTTCACCAGTGACACCAAGCTGTGTGGTGCGGGGACACGCTGGAGGGCAGGGATGCCATCCCGAGGGACCTGGACAGGCTTCAGAAGTGGGCCCATGCAAACCTCATGAAGTTCAACAAGGCCAAGTGCAAGGTCCTGCACATGGGTTGGGGCAATCCCAAGCACAAATCCAGGCTGGGTGATGAGTGGATTGAGAACAGCCCTGAGAAGGACTTGGGAGTAGTAGTGAATGGAAAACTGTGAGCCAGCAATGTGCGCTCGCAGCCCAGAAAGCCAACTGTGTCCTGGGCTGCATCAAAAGAAGTGTGGCCAGCAGGTCCAGGGAGGGGATTCTCCCCCTCTGCTCTGCTCTTGTGAGACCCCCCCTGCAGTGCTGTGTCCAGCTCGGGGGCCCCCAACATCAGAAGGACATGGACCTGCTCGAGTGGGTCCAGAGGAGGCCACAAAGGTGATCAGGGGGCTGGAGCAGCTCCCCTGTGAGGCCAGGCTGAGAGAGCTGGGGGTGTTCAGCCTGGAGAAGAGAAGGATCCGGGGAGACCTTAGAGCGGCCTCCCAGGGCTTAAAGGGGCTACAGGAAAGCTGGCAAGGGACTCTTTATCAGGGGGTGTAGGGATAGGATGAGGAGTAAAAGTTTTAAGTGGAAAGAGGGTAGATTTAGATTAGATACAAGGAAGAAATTCTTCACTATGAGGATGTTGAGACATTGACACAGGGTGCCCAGAGCAGCTGTGGCTGCCCCCTCCCTGGAAGGGTTCAAGGCCAGGTTGGACAGGACTTTGGGCAACCTGGTCTGGTGGAAGGTGCCCCTGCCCATGGCTGGGGGTTGGAACTAGATGATTTTTAAGGTCCAATCCAACCCAAAACATTTTGTGGTTAGAGTAATATTCTAGAAACCAAATTCTGTCTGCTTAACTGAAAATTACAAAACTTTATTAAGGTTCGGTATAGAATTTTGTAGTTATTATTAAGAATAGTTTCCCCAAAAAAGATATTTTTATTGACAGTTTTTCGTTTTGGGTAAGATCTAACACTAGCTGGCTTATTGACTTTTTCCATACTTCTGAATGATTCTTTGATATTAAAGCTGCTTGAGTTAGATTATTTGAACCAGACTGTCTGTTCAGGTACTTCTTACATTATAGAACATTTACAGCTTTCCCTACTTGTGCTTGTAGTGCAATATAAATTCACTGATTGTTATTTATAAGTTATTAAGTGGTTTAAGGCCATGGCCTTTTGGATGGTGTGGTAGACCAGGTTGAAGTGTGTGGTTAATTAATTTGGAAAAGATAAATGCATCTAAGTATAGCCAGCAATTTATTTGATGCTGTTTAAATGGCAATATTAGAATACTGTTCAGGGTGATAAAAACAGTGGCTTGAAATAGACTGTTCTTGTCACTACGAAGGGGCAATTTTGACTCTCAGTTCTGAGTGTTGGAACTTCGTATTTGCACAACTGTGTAGGGGAAGAATTACATCCTGATGAATCTACTGATTTCTATTTCAAGACAGAGAAGCATTTTTACATTTTGCTTAGAATTTACACTACAAGCCTTATAAAAATTTGCAAGTTGCTCATATTAGAAAGTTCTGTTAGGACCCACTGTGACATATTTCAGAGACAGTAGTCAGATGTGAATGGAATTAGTTTACAGTACAAAACATCATGTAATTTCCTTCCCTGGAAAGGTTACTTCTGGAGTCACTAAGTTTGCCAACCTGATCATGTTTTTAGATGCAGGGATTAGTCCCTGTTCTGTGTCTCTACTCCTTTCTGAGTTACTGATTTCTTACTGTAAGAGCCTATCTCTGGCTCTTCAGGGACATCACTCCGCACTTGCACTCCTGTCACTTCAGGTGCTTTTTGGACTTTGGTACATGCCCTCACTAGGCTTTGCCCCTGTGGAAAGTCACAGTCAGCTGCTAGTAAAGCTTGTTATTAACAAGGTATCTCCCTTAATTTTCACCTCACTGGATATTAGCTAGGAAAGATCACTAGGCTTTTCGGGTTTAAGGTTATGTGGGATGTCATAATTGCTATCAATGAGACTTTTTTCCATGAAGATTCTCGACCTTTGGCTTCTCACTTTCAGTTCATTAACAGGCTGTTACAATCAGTCTTAAAGCTGTCCCAGTCTTAGTGGAGTTGTTTCACATCTGTAGGCTATGTATAACGACTTAAAGGATAATTCTGCTGGAAAAGTATCTTGAAAGGAAAGGTGTGTGGGCCTGTGCTGACAGAGGAAAAGACTTTTGCTTGCTTTTTAGTAAAGAAATAGAAACACGCAAAACAGTATTTTTGAAAGACATCAGAAACAATTTTGAAGTACATACACCTCCTCTGCTGTAGTATATTTTATAGTGGTTTATGTGACAGAAAGAGATAATTAGCACTACATTCATTGCCAGGGATAAAATGCCTATATATATGTCCTTTGTTAATCTTCCACCTCTCTTGTTATTGTAGCACACCAGCTGTCTGTAGCACCATTTACAGGTACCTATATGTAATGCAGGAAAACAGGAGTCTATGTAGGGCCTAAGGGTGTTACCATTATTAAGGATAATATCAACTTCAAAACTACAGACCTGTTCTCATTTCTTTTCCATGCATCTATGATATCAAATAGTCCCAATAAGAGAACAGAACTATATTAAATTCTTCCTTGGTTGCATGAAATTATTATTTTGTGCTACATTTCTAGTGTTAGCAGCCCTTTATTAATGTGGTATGTGCAAGTAGGCTGGATCTTCCAAATGAGAAGAGACTGAGCTTATCCCTAAAGAGACAGAGAAACTCTTACTTAATTAGATGTCATGCACATGTAGAACCCTTGCTGACAGATACATAATTTCAGTTGGTGTGAAAAAGGCAAGAAAAAAAGACAAGACTATTGTCATTTTAGGTGCAGTTTGTGCAGTCATACCTCTGTGGTCTCTTCTTCATTTGTTTCTAGGCTCTGCCAGGGGACCCATGGGAATTTCCCTGAGCTCTGTTGGGTGTTGACGGAAAGATTGCTAATTTTGCTAGCCTGCCATGCTAAATATTAATTTTGATAATATAACACACTGTCACTTGGTAGAAACACTTCTGTAGCTTCCTGATTTTCTTCTTAAGTATATATGAGATTCATGTTTGAGATCTCCAAAAATCTTCCTGTAATGATGATTGTGGCCATGGGGTGAAACAAGACAGAGGTTTCAGTATCCAAACCCACAAATTATGTTTGAGTGCTGTAAAGTAACTGTCATGTTCAGAGTTTTGTCTCTCTGGTCTCATTTATTTTCCTAAAACACATCATCTATGGAGAAAAATTGAGTTAAAACATTTCCGAAGTGTTTGCTGACTTTCTGAATAATGAACTGAACATTAATACATTAAATACAAACTAGTAATAAATTACAATTACACAATTTCTTACAGAGTTTTTATTAAGATCAAAACTTATTTGTTCAGACTAGATTTATATAAATAAATCACAGTACATTTTTACTTGTGTTCAGAAGATTGTAATACATATTATAAAATTAAGAAATTTTTTGTCCCTCAAACCATCACTGCGAAAGGAATCATGCATTATTTCTACTAAATGAACAAAATGCCCACCTAATTGAGAGAGCCTTGATACAGGTATGGCTCTACTCTCCAAAATTAGACATGAAACATAGAGATACCAGGACTATTTATTGAACAAGAAATAATAAAGTATATTACAATGTTCATGTGATATTAAAAACAAAAGTATATCAAAACAACACACCTCTCTTCACACACCTTTGCAATGAGTATTAAAAATGACAGCTGGCCAGCATGCAACTGAGTAAAACATTTCAGTTTTACAACGTCTACATTTGAGCAAAAGGAGGAACTAAAAAACCCAGACAAAACAAACAAATAAACAGCCCAGATGCTTACAGGTCCTCATGTCATCTTCCCCTCTGTGCCATGCGTGCTGTGTTCCGTCAGCAGTTGAAGTATGTCCTGGTGATACCTTTCCTGAATAGTGTCCATCACTGCCATCTGGATTAGTGCACTTTACAGACCTTCAAGGAGATGGAGGTCCTTTCAGAGAACGGCAGGACCCTGGAGAACTTCCAGCTATAGTTCCTTGCCCAACCCACTGTATTAGAAAAAAACTGTAAAGGCAGCTCTTGAAACTACTCAGCCTTGAATGCGCAGTACCCTTACAAGATAATTCACACCTTGCACAGCTTGGTTCACATATTGTAAGGCTGTCACTTCAGAACAGAATTATAGTTGCAAGCAAGGCCTTGCACTAATTACAGCAAGATTCAAGGTGACGCTGTTATGAAGTCTGTCCTACTGCCATTTTCCCCAGCACACAGGGCTTCTATTAAATTTTACAGTATTGTGGGTTACTTTTTCTACGTGCTTTTTTCCTTCTAGATAACAAAGCCATTTTTTTCTCATCTGATGCTGAGATGTAATAAGTTGACAATGCACTGTTCTAAAGGGAAGAAAGCATTTCATTGATGACACTTCAGACTGAGTCACCTAGGCTATGTTTTTTCACTTGTTTTTGTTCAAAGAAAATGCATTAATGGTAATTTCAGATAGATTTCTAACTGGGTAAAACAGATTTTCAGCTGAATTTCCAGTCCTTTTTCTCCTTTCCCATTTATTGTTTGTTACTTTTAAACTAAAACAGAGTTTGCAGCTCTTTTTTTTTTTTTTTTTTTTTTTTTTTTTCAACAGCAAATAGGTCTCCTCAGTGCTCGTATGTTGCCAAATGATAAACATGCAAATATGTCTTTTGTACCTCTGACTTTGGATGCTCATATTAATATAGCTACATATCATGTTTGGTGTTTAAAAATAAACATGAAACCAAACCAAAAAACAAAGAACAAAAACAACAAAAAAACCCTTTCTAACAACTATCCCCTCAAGACAAGAAGGGTGGACTAAAATAAACTCTTATTTTTCAGGTTTTTTGCATTGCCTTTTGCTGTTGCCTCACTTTGGATTGAACCAGCAGTTCTCCTACTGGTAGTTAAATTGGACCTCTTTATAACAAGTTTCTCATATGTACTGCTTTGGTGTTTTATAGATCTGCTGGCACAGAAAGCAGAAATATACATTGAGTGGTAGGAACAATCTGAGCGCTGGATTTTTTATACTACATTTTTTCTTTCTGTTCTGGTAGTCCCTGCTGCCCCAGATTGAGATGCATGTGTCTTTGTCCACTGCCAGGATTCTTTACAGAAAAAGATGAAACAAAAGAGAAGAGAAATGCTTTTAATGTCTTGTGATTTCAGGAGAAACAGATAAAGAAATATTTGAGCACTCAACTGCACAAGGGTAGTGCTGTGAGTATATTGTCATGGGAATATCACATAACTGCCCATTATACTCTGCCTCGGTGTCAGTATCTTGGGAGGTTCTGCCATGGACATTCACTACTTTTTCATAAAACAACATTTGAAATGATGGCTTGTTATAGAAAACTAAAATTAACAGTTTAATAACACATTGTTAATGAATGAAGTGGAATTAAAGTATTGCTGAGATGCATTTATAAGAGATTGCCTTTTCTATTTTAGAATCACAATACTTGTCATACAGCATAATTATTCATTCACAGGAAATAAGAAAACAAATGGTGGTTGAAGCTTTGAAATTATTTCTGTGACCCTTTTACTAATTTACCTCTGAGAATCATAGTTCAGAAAAGAAAGACTGAAAAGTATGGGAACCATAGTTTTCACTGGGTTTGCAGGTGATTTTGTAGCAGTATGTACTCTGTTCCTTCCAATGTGCTGTTGCATTATTGTATTACACTCCAAGGACAGCAGCAGTCTACTGGCCCACCAGAACCATAATGTGAAAATATTTCAGGTCTAGGGAACAACGTTGGTTATTGGAGTATAAAAGTGAAGAGGGAAGTAACCAAATATAGAAAATAGCTATAATTCCATACACAGACTGCTATGATAAAGCAGGTACTTGTAAAAAGCACATAGTAATGCCACAGCCTGAGTAACAGTTTGCAAGTCATGTGTCAGCAAGAATTAGGGAAATTTAATAAAAAATTGGATAATTGGGTTTTCTCCCTTATCCCTAAGCCTTTGAGGTGTGCTGGATTCCACTTTAAATGCTCGCTGAACTGAGGTTTTTTTCTTTTTTTTTTTTTTTTTTTTTTGCTTGTTTGTTTGTTTTGTTTGGTTTGTGTGTGTGTATGTGTGTTCAAAATAATTTTCTTGATATCAGACACTTAAGCATTAAATAAACTGAGTATGGTAATAAAATAAATAAAAAACAAAAACCACTGGCAATTATAATGATACTACTTTTCAGTTGATTCCCCTTTGAGTTGCTAGAGTCAAATCTTGGAAAGGCTTCTGACTTCTTCCCTCCTCCGTGGATGCAAAATGAGCCTGATGAATAGGTGTTTTCCTTTTTTACAGAAGTTACTGTTGCTAACATTGCAGTGAGAAAAGGTGCGGCTGCTGGCTCTGCGTTCCAGGCAGGGATGCACATATAGTGATTTGTCCTGGACATCAAAGAACTCTACTCCAAAGGAAGGGATCCTCCATCTTTGCTCATGCTCTTCTCCCCGTGTTGACTCCTGGGAGATGAGCTTGGGCAAAGAGTGCAGGATTTTTCCTGAAGTGAGGATCATGCATGAACAGATATGAACATTGTATTGTATCACTGGCCTGCTGACATAAAGCTTCATTTGAAATTGTAGGGAACTAGTTTTGCCAGGGCAACTTTATATCTGTTTTTAATTCTTCTGGAAATGTCTAGTTACCATCTGAAATTTACCTGAGTCAGGTTTTGAAGAGTTGTTTAGTTTGCCAGGGGTATCCTTGTGTATGGTAGCTGTACTCTCCATAGCATGGCATGAGGTTTTTCAGTGTACTTACAGGATGTCCAATGTACTTACAGGACTTTGCTTTATAGCTGCGGTGCACATTTATAACAGCTCCAAGATTTTCTGCAAGTGCCAAGCTGTGCTTTACCCACTAGAAATTCTGAATTTCTGGAAGATCCGTATTGATAGGTTATAAAACTAATTTTTCAAATTTTGGATCAAAATTTCAAATATTTTCTTCAATCCCTGCATGCATATGTGTTGGCAAAACTGCAAATCCCAAATTCTTGATGAGCATTCGACACTTACAAGACATGAAGCAATGTGTGTGCACATAAACTTATCTGAACTATATATAAAGACCAGGGTTCCCTATCTGTAAGTACACAGCAGGCAACTAGATTGTATAAAATATGCATACTCTGCTTTTCCTTTTTTTTTTTTTTTTAAATAAAAATCCCCATGTAAAAACTTGAATCAAATTCTCTCTAGAAGGAAGAGAGAACTCCATGCATGGTAAATAAGTGGCAAAATTTATTGCAGGGGCTCTTGTTCTGGGATGTAGATTTCATAGTGTGAGAGATCTCAGTGCTTTGATTTTTAATTTTTTTTATTTTTAAATAGTCAGAATTTGTCAGCATTTACAATATACTATTATGTAAAATAGCCCTGTTAATTCTACTACAAATAATAAAGGTCTTCACAGGCACTACATATTTGGAACAGTATTTTAAAATTACATTCTGTGTGTGTGTGTGTGTGTGTGCACATGCACACGCATGGGTGTGCTTGTTTGTATGACAGAGCATAGCCGTCTGTGATATACTTCCAACTTTTTACAGTGCCAGGGACACAACTAAGAAACACTGACTGAAAAATCATCTACAAAGGTTTGGGACTAACTGCCTCCATATTATACAGATGGTTATCTTCTTTCTAAAAGAACATACTGCCATTACAAATACCATATGTATCTTGTTCTCACTCAACAGAACTTTTTTTTCAGTTTTTCAGATTTAAAGGATTTCTGCAAAGAAACATAGTAATTTGTTTTCATGTAAGGTGAAAGGAGGCACCAACTGAGACTGAGTACTCAACTTTTCATCAAAAATTAAATGTCTGATGACAATCATTCTTGAAAAAAGAATATTTAGAAAGTTATCCCTTTACAATACTGCATCTTCTTTGCAAATACAAGAACCATATTTGTTGCTGCTTCTCATATTTGTTGGTTTTCATTGCTATCATGTTGCTTGTAAAACCTGGGTTTATTCTAATGAACAGAAATTATGAATTGAATTTGGATAATGCTTACGACCATACAAATAATCTATCAGTAGCAATAGTGTCAGCTGGAGAATTAATGCCACAAGTGGATAACATTATGCTACTTGAAACCAATAGCTCTTCACACAGTAGAAGACTGAGGGTCCTATTCAGCAAATATTCAGGGTCCTATGGCTGTGGCCACAGAGGTTCCAGAAGCTCTCGCTGAGTCTAATCCTGATTCAGGAACCAAAATGATATGCTGTGTATATATTTCTCTGCACAGCCTGGATGCGCTGGACACCCTCCCCCACTTGATTCCTGGGAAGGAAAAAAATATGTCTCTGTTTAGCTCAGTGACATGAAAAACAATCCACAGCAATGAAATCTAGAGAAGTTAGTCAGGCATGTATGAAAAGAACAGGATGCCTGTAAAAAGGGAAGAGCTGTCAAAACCTAATTGTGGGCTCTGGCTGCAATAAAATTTATCAGAGGGAAGTCAGGTTGGATATAAGGATGTAGACAGCCACTAAGAGATACTTCTCATGTTCTGGGAAATAGTAACAGTTATACTACTCTTCATGTGCTTTGTCAAGCCATTCCTGTCAATGCTTGGCTACAGCTGAGAGCTTGGTGGTGTGTTTTCTAAACCCAGCTCCCAAAAGCCCAGCTTCAGCCAGTAGCTAGCTTGTCATTGAGGGCACAAACACAGGTAGAGCTCCCCCACTTTGCTCTTCTTTCACAGCATACCTGCATGTTGGCAGCACCCATGCTCTGAAAAGTCATGGTGCATTCCCACTACTACAGAGCCTGTGAGTACTCAAAGGTCTCCCTGCTGAAACTGTGCTGCTGTGGTCCCCAGGCACCAGTAAAAGGACACAGGGCAAGACTGGTATTTTTGCCATTTTGTAGCATCTTCCTATTCCCTGGCAATTATTTATAGAACTGCCTAGGGTTACTGCTTACAAGCGAGTAGGTAAAGTCCTTAGTTGCATTCTAGTAACATGGCTGCATTCTGATGCATAAAGTATACTCAGCGAGGCTGCGAGCTGCCAGCCTCTGTATCTTAGGTGCTTATGGCATCGTTCATGGCTTGATATGAAAACTATGCTCTTTCCTGTCTTTCAGCTTTGAGGGTAACATTATGGCTGTTCATAAACATAGTAGGGGTTTTTGACCTGGATTATTGGCTGACTTTAGCCAGTGACAGCAACAATAAAAGTAGGTTGTGGTAACTCTTAGGAAGCAATTTAGTTAGATCTTTGATGAATTTTTGTGTCTCATGAATCAGGATTAGTATTCCCTGTATTGGGGAGAGGATTAAACAGAGGGATTAAAAGGACATCTTTACCCCACTGGACTCTGTGGAATAGCCCCTGAGGATATGGCTAAGAAAGAGTTCAACAGGAATGCCAAATTTCTGCTGAATAGGTTAAAAGGGTGAGGAAGCCTCTTCGGCAGCCATCCAAGCGCAGAAGACCTGCATAACATTTCTGCTGAATAGGGCCCTAAAGACAAAAAACAAAACAAAACAAAACAAAAAAAACATAGGAACCTTGAAAAGCTTTTCTGATTGTGTCCTTTCTTATCAGCACCTCAGATCTCCAGAGGCACTTAAACATTTTTTTTCACTGCAGTTAGGCATCCCTTGAGATGTGGTAGTGGCGTGGATGATATATTGTTACAAGAGAAGAAGTCAAATTATGTTGTTATATATATATAAAAAAAAAAAAATGTACTGGTTGTTCTGTAAACAAGGTCCATTTCTTTGTATCAATTATCAGTGAAAGTTATCCAAGATCTTATTTAAAAAACAAAACCAAACACTTAATCCAGTGTATAATGGTTGGTGTTTTTATGTATATATTAAAGACATTAATTTGTCTGCCTAAAATTGAAAGGAGCAGACTTAACTTGTGTGTTATGTTTGACTTTTAATATCAGTTTTTCTGAGCCCTTTTCTAGGATTTAGTGCATGCATGTGGATTTTGTTTTTGTTCATAAAATTTTATCCAACTTCTAATACCATATAGAAGAATATTCACTATTACAGTAATGGGGAAGCAAGAAATAAGTCTTACCTCTGCAAGAGGATGCCAGTGAGCAATGGGTTTCCGAGGATATGAGAGCATTTCATTCCAGTGGTCGCGACCTAGACTTTCTGCATCGTTGCCTACTTGACATACTCCAATGACCTCATTGTGACCTACACTGTGAAAATGTTCCATAATATTTTTTTCTTAAAATTTTACCTTTAGAACCATACCATTTACATATTTCATTAGAAACATTAATCATAGATTTTTAGAATTGATTCTTGCTTGAATAATATAATGAACTATAAAATATGTAGGTTTGCTCTTTACATTTCCCACTAATCAGAATAATTTTATATTTTCCCCTTTATAGCATACACTGTATGTGTGCATTTTTTTCTTATTTTTGCATAAAGAATGTAAAAAGTTCTTTGCATATGTTCTGTAATTAGTTGGAAATACAAGTAAACTCTAAGCCACAACTTTAGAAATGAAGGCATGTGTCTAAGGGGTTAAGGTAATTGTGCACAAACAGAACACTGGTATGTGAACTGTTTGATTATATGTTCAGTTATTTCAGGTCTGGTAAACATATATGCAGTTTAGTTATGTCAGTTATGGATGCAAATCTATATTTTTAAATTTAGAAAGGAAATTCTGCCTGACAATATCAGAAATTTTAGCCTCCTACCAAACTCAACATGACATTAATTTCCCATTTATTGGGAAAAAATGGCAACTTTATTTCAGGATGCAAATCTACTATGCAAGATTCCATAAACCAATAGATGACATTATTTTACAGCTACAGGTATCTCACCGGTCATAATCCATAACAGCTATCGACAAGTTAATTTGGTCAATGTTTTCTGGAGGGACGTCAAAGACTATGGCTTCATTGTAAACGGGATTAAGGGTATTCCTCTTGGTGGAAGTTTTTCTTTTCTTTAGTCGCCTTCCTTCACACATTAAAGAAACCTTCACGTACGGATCTGTGTGAATCATAAGAACAATGTTGGTTTTCTTTTGTTGTTTTTAAGCAAACATAAATGAAAAGTGAAGGGAGCAGCCTTTTTGCATGCCCATACCTGCTTGCAGAATTAGCCACCTGGACCTGACTGGAATTTAAGCTTTATTTCCATGGAATGCCTGGGAGGCTGTGGAGCTTTGAAAGCTTTACCTGGTTGACTGCTTATAATGAACAGTTTAGGGTCAAGAAGTTCCTTGCTGTGTACCAGCTTCTCAAAGCATATTAAAATATCCACTGAACCATGTTATATATGACTGTTTTATGCAACAACCTGTGTATCAGCCTATTTGTAATAGCCTAATTACTTGTACAGATTTGTAGGACAGATAGAAGTTGATCATATTTTATACAGTGGGATTTACTGATGTATGGTTAAATATAATTCAAAGTGTAACAATTAGTGGCTTATATTTCTTAAAGGAATTATAATTATTTTTGAACTCCTGAATGCAGTAAAAAACGTTATTTCTTTGTAGCTCCTTTCTGAGAGCTCTGAAATTTCCTGATAGTACTTAAATCTGTCTATGAACTCTTATTTAAATTAGTTTTTTGTTTTCATCATCAAATTTTGAAAGGGTTGCTGAAAGGAGCTTGGGATCATCACTGTTTTGTCTGTATGCCAACAGCAGAACTGGCTCAGTGGCTCTTGGAGACTGTCAGAGAGGGTCAGCCTGCCGCTGTGCCATAGCTGTAACAAATAGCTGTACAAACAAATTCCCAGTGTTATGAATGCAGTTTGGCCATGCTATTCTAAATCACAGTGTCTTTAGAAGTAATAATCTTGCAGTCTTTTTAAGAGCAGATTATTCTAAACAGTTGGTTGCAGCCAAGCATACTAAAAGATATTATTTATTTCTCAGAAACTCCGATACTCAAGTAACTCAAACACTCGTGTAAGAACCCTCTTCTCAAAAATCATTCTGGGATTTGAGAGTGCGGAATTCTGTGTCTCAGGAGGGAAATGGGACAGAAATCCACATTGAGCATTAAATTAATTCCTACCTGATGCTCCTGTGATATCCATTGCCTTTAAATTTCTTGCCTTTATTATTGTAATAGTTAATCTACCAGCTGTTGGAAGGTAGCAGAGTGAAAACATCAGGTCACCAAGATCCACGTTATCCTGTTCCAAGGAAAGAGAGGTAATGTGAGGCAATAATAACAATTTTCCCTACCTGTAACAGGAGCCTAAAGATGAAAATATACCTTTGGGGATCTACAGTTATACAAGCAAAACCTGAATTCTCATTCTGAAACATACCTGAAAAAACAGACATCCATCTGCATGCAAGGTTCAAGTTGCTATGTTTGTTGCTGGACCACCAAAGTTCTCAAGTGTAAACATGATTATAGTTTCTAGCACTTAGTCCTTGGAGATGAAGCACATTTAAGTGATGAGGTACAGCATGAGGCACTGGAATATCTTTGTTCTATTTTATGTTTTGTATTGATATGTGTCTATTGTTGACAAGCTTCAACAGATCTCCATGCCTTTCCTTCTGGTCTGCAGAAGGATACCCATACAGACATTCATAGAAAAAAACTTTGGTTGCACAGGGCAAAGTTTCCTGCAACTCTCAAGCTTGCATAAACTCAGGTGTGATAGGTGTGAAGTCACTGTGGTAATGGGGCAGTCTCCACTAGAAGTATTGTAAGGATATTACTTCCTGTGCCTTGTGCAGACAAGTTCCCTCAAGTAAGCTTATCCACCTGTTTCATTGATAGAATGATTTACAACCCTTTCCTCTGTCAGTGGCATCAGGGTTTCAGAAAGGTAGTAGAAAATGAGCAAACCCTATTTGCAATTACTAATTAGCTGGTTTTTTGTTTGTTTGTTTTTTGTTTTTGTTTTTTTTTTTTTTTTAAAAAAAAAAGAAATCCAGCTCTTTTATGAAAAATATAGTGAATAAAGGATTTTATTAAATGATTTCTGGGATTTGATTTGCAGCTTTTTGACTGAACAGTGAACTGATACTTTCATAAACCTATGTCCTGTAACTTAATATTTAATTCTTGACTGAAAAAAATTATCCTGTCCAGTGAATTGAAAGCTACAGTCTAAGTTTTATAGGAAAGGGAAATACAGCTGTTGTGGAATATGTGTATCTTGCCCATTTAGTTCTGTGCAATAGCTTCTTTCCTTTCTCGGGTTGGCTCCTTCAGTGTCAGTCACCAAAAAACGAAGGGTGATGAATGACATAGAAGGTGAGTGAAAATATCTCAAAACAGCACCTAACAGGTTAGTGCTTGTCTATAAGCTAGTTGCTGTATAGATCAATGCCTGGAGCCTATGCAGTCACTTAATGTGGCTTAATGAGTTAGCAGAGGAGACATGCAGGACATAAAGAATTGCTGTCACAAAGCTGTAGAAAAATGTTATGTCAGAAGGGTTTTCTAGAGGTCACTTGGTCCAACTCCTTGCTCAAGAGAGGCATCTTTGCTTTAATTCTCAGCTCATGCAAGGAAAAAAAATAATCATGTACATTCACTCAGAAACAGATCCTTTCCTTTTGCTTCATCAACTAACATTTTTCCATTCTAAAGATCAGTATTTCATGGTAGCTGTAAAGCTAATAAAGGTTGTGACAATACCATGATCACTGATATGACTCACCCTGTTTAGTGTCTCTTGATGGCTCATACCTGGAGGCAGACCTGCTGCAACACTGTGTCACTGACTCTGACTGTGGGAAGATCAAAGTGCTGTTTGAAAAGGTGATGCTGTAAGAAGTCCTACAGGCTAAAGTGATGTCAGCACATCCAGGAGAAATTTCTCTTAGCTAACACCTGCACTTAACATTACAGGAGGAATAACTGATCTCTGAAATTTTCCCAGTAGTCAGCTGGAGCTTGATACCTATAACCTGGGGAACAGGAAGCAAACATTTCACTTATCTTTCTCATTGTGAGGAATAACAACTTCCATCATTTAAGTGTGCTTCCCCAGCCCTGAGGAGCGAGATTCGTAGCTGTGGAATTCTCTCTCATGCTGCAACCTTGAGGGGAGCAGAATTTCATAAGCCATTTAAAGAAATTACTGAGTGAAGCCAGATTTTGGCAATTTGGGGAATTTGTGACTCTGGCAAGTTTTAATTGAGAAGTTATTTTTCATGAATTGGCTGGAGAAGATAACACTGTTTAATCACACATAAAGTAGCCCATGAGGCACCCGTTGTTTAAACTGTGCATTTTGGTATTCTTAGATATTTACAATCATGTCAAAGTCATGCTGTATTCAACTGCAGTGCCCCACATGGCAACTGGGTAATTCATTATGTGAGTGCTGTAGATGCTTTACTGTAACTAATACAAGAGTTTCCATTCCAGACTTGATCATCCTGAATGAACATTTAAAACCTTTTATCAATTCCTATCAAGAAGTTTATAGGTAGATGAATTACTATACAATTGTTTTAGAAAGAAGTGCCAATAAGAATATTGACCCTCTGCATAAATGAACTGGTTAGGAAAGAATGGATCACATATGTTGAATGCAGTGTTAGGAATTATGCCATAATATACTTATCCACAAGCTTTGCCTTATGTTTGAAAGATAATCGTCACGTGCACTGTGATGTATTTTTTAGCAAATGCTGCAATGACAATACTTTGTTAATGCTTTTATAAAAATTGTACTGGGCATTATACAAGAAAAACATTGTTAGACTGGAAACAGAGCCTGTAATTTCTTCAGTCTTTTCCAGTTGTAGGAGTTGTAGGAGTTATAGCAATACATCACAGATAACTATGAGATTCAGTCTGTTCGTAAGCTGATACTAGTAGTAATCTAACTGTGGCAGTCTGAGAATGTAACTGAAATCAGGCTTGCAGGCAGCAGAAGGAAAGAGGCAAACTTTCTGGTATCCAAATGCTTCTCTGAGTCTGAAAAAACCCTGTCTTCTCACACTTTTGTTTTGATTTGTAGGGAATTAACTACTACTCCATAATACTGGCTGCTTGTAAATGTTTTCTTAATTTTGAAAAGAAAGATTTTCTAACAGAGTGAGACTTTCCCAGTGCCCTGGCTATTCCACCCTGCATACCCCTATTTTCTGTAATCAAAGGGCAATATTTTTAACTGTTCCAAATGTGTAAATTTTGCTACTGGGGTTTCAAGGTTCAACATAATGGGGGAATATTCTTCAGAGAGTACACAAACCGTGACTGTACCACAGAATCTGGGTAATTGCAGTGGAACAGGCAGCAAGTTCTGACTGGGGATCAGTGGTGTCATGGGCATGACCGTTACATCCGGAAAACACAGGTCCTTATATAAATTCAGTTTGTTAACAGAACCAAGGCCTATGTAACAGAGCACAGAGAGGTTTATTGTACATCTTCACTAGTTTAAAATCACAGAGCCACATGGCTTAAGTTATGGATTGCCACTAAGGCTGTACAGTGTTATCAAGAAATAGCTCTAAGGAACAGAATTAACAAACATAGAGGGTAGGATCTTCTGCAAGGATTATGCTTCTCCTTGAACTCAGTACTTACGTGTTACTATGTATGCTTGACAAAATGTGGCAATATAAATATTATACTGCCAGAGACATTTTAACCTGATTAGGAAAAGATTTCATGATATTGTAAGTTATCAAGTCATGCATTTTGTACATTCCGAATTTGTGTCTAACTTTATTTAGTGTGGTAGTAATACCATACTGTGCATGTTACAGTGCAATCAGGACAGCTCTAAAATAACCAGACCAAAAGGCTGATTATTTTAGATGCTGGTATTAATAACTTAAAATATTCAGAATTGTCCTAGTTTGGGCTGAAATAGAGTTAATATTCCTTTTCAGGGACTAGATGAGTGCTATGTTTTGGATTTAGCTTTGGGTTTGGTATGGGAAGAATGCTGACAGCACACTGATGTTTTCAGCTGCTACCGAGACTTCAAGGACTCTCCGACTCCCCATGTCCTGCCCGTGCGCAAGGGCACAGGGAGCAGGGAGGGAGCACGGACAGAGCACCAGACCCAAATTGGCCAGTGAAATATTCCATATCATGGAACGTCATGCTCACTATAGAGAGGAGGGGTGGTTGGGAAGGAGCTCTCTCTCTCTCTCTCTCTCTCTCTCTCTCTCTCTCTCTCTCTCTCTCGCTTCCGGGATTGCGATTGTGGGATCTTGGTATCTCGGGGTCGCTGGCCGGGAACGGGCTGGGGATTGGTCAGCGGGTGGTGAGCAAGTACGCTGTACATTGCCTGTTTATATATTTATTTTTCCCCCCCCATCATCATCATTGTTCTCGTTTTATTGCCATTATTAAACTGTTCCTATCTCAGCCTGTGAGTCTCCCTTCACCCCTCTAATTCCCTCCCCCATTCCCAGGTGGGGAGGGGGAAGGGAGGGTGACCAGCTGCGGTGGTTGGTTGCTGACCAGGCTCAAACCACGACTAGAAGAAAATTAAATTATAATAATAATTTATTTATGTGAGTATGGCCTATTTTTTTTTTTTTTTGGTCCTCTTCAGCAGGAAGCATATTGTAAGAACTGAATAAATATGCTGTAATAAACATACCTAAGGTCCAAGCTCCTCTCCCATTGTCCTCAAAAACCTTCCACATTTAGAGGAAGAAAACACTGTCTTCATTTTTAATCTATAACCTGCTCATTCCTGTATCCTAAAGAAGGTAGAACAAGATTGTTGTCTGCTTTGCTTTTCCAGTGCCACAGGCTTCAGCTTCAGGCTTGGGGTGAAGGCTGAGTGCCTTGATGTTGTTAGCTGTGCAGTGAGATGCACAACCTGTCTGTTTCTGATAATAGTGCCTAGATTTCTCTCTGAGCCCTTGTTCTGTTAATGCAGTCCTTTATTCAACAGGGCAAGAGAATAAACTTTCTTCCCTAAAAAATTGCCCAGAGTTACCTCGGAGAGTTAGATGTATTCAATACTGGGTAAGCAATCAGCTGAAGAGTTCAAACCAGATGTGTAAATCACAAGGTTTGCCTGAAAACTGTATTTTCACAAAGGGAACTAATCCCTTACTGGAACCTCAAGATAAATAAGATCATTTAATTGCTGTTAGGAGCATGGAGATACAAACTCTCTCACGTTATGCTTGCTCCTTGTTCTATTTCTTGTGGAAATACTTGATTTGTCATAAAAATCATGTTATT